ATATTTGTGGGCAATAACAGTTGTGTTAAAATTTTTGTGGAAGAATAAATTGTAAATACTGATTATTTATAAACTTATAAAATATATAAGAGTCTCAGTTGCGAATCAAGCATACTTGCTATTATGTGAAGTAATGTGCAGCTTATCTTTTAACAATTTTTTTTTTGGAGATTGATTCTAATAAAATTAAACTTTCGAGAACGAGTAAATTAAAACGTGCATATCTTTCCAAAGTTTTATCCTTAATTATTTTTTGATTTTATGGGAAGATGAAAAATATAGTGATAGATAGTATTAGCATATTTTGTATCATTTGAAATATTTAATAGTTTCTTTCACTTTTATTATTCCTTTAAAACGATAAACTTATATTTTAAAACCAACAAGTAGTACTTGAAAAAAACATCAAATGTACGTCAAGTGATCGACTGTCCCCCACCTCCGGTGACGACAAGCGATAACCCTTCCACTATTAAAATTCCTATCACTTTAGGTATATATATGTGTTTTGTTTAAACACACTAGTAACTTTAATCATAATTACAATTATTCATTGAGTTTTAACTTTAAACCACTTTATCCTTCATTACTAAAAGCAATGGGTATGTGGAGTAATTTAAGTGATGCCCTAGGAAATAAAGTCAATTCAATAAAGGATTTCCATGCCATTATTAGAATATCTTTCACGTACTTTAATTATCTCTTGTTAATTCTTGATTTTATGGGAAGATGATATATATATATATATATATATAGTGATAGAAGATATTAGGGTATTTTAGTCAAATGGGTTCATGGGAGGCTCCTAAATCAAGATTGTTGAATATGTTTCAAGTATATTAATTGTTAAAATGGTCTGGTTCGATGTACATGGCTTAGTCTCCAACAATTAACAAAGTCCATTTGTTTGTTTGAATGAGGAGAAAATTGATCATTCCAACTCTCTAGAAAATTGTTCGCTTGATGTAACATGGCAAGGATGTGATTCACAATTTTTTTCTGGGGTTTTTGAGAGTTAAATGCCGAGTCAATTAAAAAAAATACAATATAAACATTTTACATGTAAAAATGCCGACACAAATACATAATTTCTCCCCATGCATTATTATCTCATTTCATATATAATTATTCACAGAAAACTTATATCACCACCATGCTTTTTTGTATTTATATTTTACATGACTCCACATAAAATTAAGGAAAAAATATGTTAATGAAAATTAATTAAGATGTCGTATTAGGAGCTAGCTAACAAAAGTTGAGCCAATTTTGCTAGCTCTAGTTAGTAAGAATGTAACTCATTTCAAAAGGAAGCAAGTTGTTCATTATTGATTTGAGGATTTTATCAATAGATAATTTGTAAATATTTTTGTTAAGACGTTTAAATGTAATTAAACTTATCAAATAAAGTAAAATTTAATAATTAATATATAATAAAGGAGAATGACACTCAAAACTCAAGCTTTGATGTTTATTAAGTTAAAATGCAATATCTTTTCACTACTATTAACCCATTTGTTCTCTTCTTTATTTCCAAGCAGTTGCAGTTTTATAAGCATCATTTGAACTTTGAAGCATATATTTTAACTCAAATAAACTCTGGGGAGATAACTCAACTTATGGAAACTTTTGTTGATAAAAGCATTATCACAAATAACGCTGAAAATGATTTTGTGTGCGTGTGTGGGGGGGGGGGGGGGAGCTATATATACAATGTTGTGAAGAGGGATGAAACAACAGAAATTCAGAGTGGGAAAGCAGATGTTTCATCGAAGGCACCATCCAACAGGACCATAAAATTAGAGGCCACACAAACTTGCCGTCAATTGTGAACGTAAAATCACAAGTGTCTTTCATTCATGCTGTGATGATGTGAAATCATGTGAGGGTGCTGTGTGATGTGGAACGTAATAATGCAAAAAGTAAAAGAAAAAAAAAAAGATAACTATGTTATTCAGAGTCAGGGAAGAGGTTAGAAATGATTGCACAAGTTGCGGATTGTATTGGAACGAGTGGGAGGAGAATGATGAGAGAGAGGGACATTACATATGAATTATGAAATCAGTTGCCACTGTGAGAGATTCGCGGACGCTGTTCTTCAATTTTGGGCCATCTCACTCACTTTTGGGCCCAATTCAGACCAATCAAGCCTAAATCTAATAAAAAGAGTTAGTTTTTTATAACATAATAAATTAATATTTAACCTTGTGCCGAAATAAGTACCTTTATATAGAATTATCTCCAATAAAAAAAATATACATGAGTAACAAAAGAGAAAAAAAAAGCACAACTCAACTAATGAAAAGTTGTGCCACCTTAACTCTTAATCTGAAGTTTAAATTTTAGGTATATAATTATGTTAAATACTTGTTGGAATTGCTCAACGTAGATTAATTGGGTTCAATGTAGCTATTAGCTATTAGATACAAGGTCGTTTGATACATCATACATCATGATGAAGAAGATTTTACAACATTCATAAATTTTATATTATATATTGAAATGAAATATTGAAAAGAAACCCATTCCGGCCAATACAATGAGGCCCAAGCCCACAAACTGAAAAGTTTGGTCCCTGGCCCAAATTGGGTTACTCCATGTTCACCATTGATCATTGGAGGCAAGGTTTGAAACTTTAAAGTCACACCTGACCGTTCAAATTAGTGATGAGATGAGCACCATGAGAGCCCCATGACCACATTCCACGGATTCACATATTTATTTACTCAACCAATAATAATTCAAATAAACTTGTTGATTAATCTCTGAACCGATTTATCTTGAATTTTATTTTTGACAGAGAGATTCATCTAGTAATTGGTAGTCTTTTAGAATATGTTTATAACACATCTATTGAAAAATTTGGTTTTTCTTAACTAAAAAGTGTATTTATAGAAGTAACGCGTGGAAGGTAAATATATCAATATATACTCTTTTTTATGCTTTTTACAAGGCACTTCTAATATTACTCCTAACTAAGAAAATGTTTTCTCTTCCAAGTATATATGTTATAAAAAGTACGGAAAAAGTGTGTGTGTGTGTAGAGATATATCCATAAATTGACCTTGGTTCTTAATTTTGAATGTGATTAATTCCATTCAAAGTAATGGAATCATTCTCGCGACAATTTAGCTTATGTGATATAAAAATGTGATTTACATATAGGATTAAAAGGACTATTAGAAAAATTAAAAAATATGGCTATGGAATGTGGATGCATGAAAGCTGGCTTGGAGTTGGGAGTTATATGTATGGCATTGTGATGACGCTGGACGTAAATGCAACTAATGACAACTAAATAATTAAATGTGATAATTACTCATAACGACTCTTCACGTTAATGTCGGCAATTTGTGTTTCAGGCGCCCAGCTGCCCCGCTGTGCCTTTCGTTGAGATAACATCATTCTTCAATGTTCTTTTTGTTTGCTTTTCCCCACTTTTTATTTTCCTTTCAACGTCAATCAATTGTCCCTCTTTTAAAACTCAAAATAGTAAAATATACTTTTTAAAGTCGAGAATAAAATTGAGATTCAAAAATTCTGTTTAAATAAGAGTTTAAACTTAAAAAATGAAGAGATTTTTAGGATTATTGGGCTTTTGGGCCCGGCCCTACTAAACTCTTAAAAAAAGACTTAGGCCCAAATGACTGTCCAAACCTTGTTCTATTATGCACCATTAGACAAATGGAGAAAAAAAAAACTTAAGCATTCAATCATTTTAAATTTTTTAGCTCTCTTCGTCTATTGACTCAATCTCTCCCTCTTATCCTCTCCTTTTCTCTAACTCTCCCAACTCTTCCTCTTGCTGCTCTACTCACCCTTTGGCTCTCTTTATCTCTTGACCCGCTTCTCTCTCTTATCTTTTAACTCAATATTTCTCAACTTTATATCTCTCACTTAGTATTCTATTGTTTTGACTTTTTGACTCTTTTACTTTCGAGTAATTCCTTTTCTAACATAAATCTTTTTGTAGGTCGTAGAAGTCTGAGATTTTAATTTGATGCTCCCTTTTAAAATTTTAATTTGATTTAAAAATTTTGATTCCTCATCTTATTCCGTAAAGATTATATCAATATGCCTCGTTTATTTTATTTGTGAAACTTGGTTGTAAATTTTTTAGATAATGTAAAACTTTAATTTATATCAATATGTTGAATTTTAGAATTAAATTATTTTCTAGGAGAACAATAACATTAAATTATGATATTAATTTTTTTATTATTTTGAAATCGGGCTTCTGGCCTGACCCTTAGTTTTTCAATAAGAGCCTAACCTTAAGATTTGGTCAAAATTTAGAAAATTTGACAGTGAGGCCTGCCCTGTTTTCTCATCTCTAACCCTCTATTTTGTGACTTTTTTAAAATACTATTACTATCACTTCAAAGTTTCAAGGTAGCGTCTAAAGCCCCAGAAGAAGAGAAATAAACCTGCAGGCTCAGTACAATCTAACAATGCTGTGAATGCCTAAAAGACTCATCTCCAATTAATATTTTTTATGAAATGATTGAACTACCCTCAATGATTGAGCAGGAAATACTGCACTGAAAATTTACTGTCCTTTCATTGTTAATTTGTTTTGGGTAAGTAGTAAAATTTTTTCATCTTGCATTCTTTAAATACAAGTGTAGATCACAAATGGAATCTCGTAAATGAATGGACATTTCATTGTGAGTAGTTGAACTTTTCTTATTTTTTGCGGATCTTCTATTGTTAATTTGTTTTAGCATTTTAGGATGATATTTTCTTCTCAATTATTAATTGTAGTTCAGTCATTTCAGCTTGAAAATTAATTGTAGATTATTTCTGAAAGCCTGCAGATCATTATCAGATTGTATTGGTCTTGCAGAACAATTTTTTTCTTAGGACGACTTTAGACGTGATCCTCCTTTCAATGAATCATTGAACGAGATTTTTCCCCCCAGAATTGAACTTCTTTATGACGGATAGTTGCGTATAAAGGTGCAGAATAACACAGGGAACTAGACATGCAACAGCGCATATAATGAGTGGAAACAAATTTGAATCACATTTGAATGACCAATTTTACAAGAAAAGGAATACAAGGAAATAAGTTTATTATTGGGTTTCGTCGTCGTCGTCATGGTGAGGTCTTGTTCTTCTACGATGATAATTAAATTAATACATAGAAGGATTTTGACCCGAATGGGATCCTCTCAAAATCTGTATGCAGGAAAGATAAATATACAGTTTTTTGAAAAGATCGAACCAAAACAGAAAAGAATTAACTGAGGAGAGAAGAGGAGGAGGGAGAAGAAACAGGGCGGAGACCGTGTTTGAGAGCAGCTTTCCAAACAAGATCGATCCGATCAACGTCGATGGCTCCAACTTCGTGATGGTTCCATCCTTCCAGACTGTGCACCACCCCTCCTGCATGGCATGCATGCACCACTCCCCTCTCCATTGTATACTGCATTCATATATATATATATATATATATATTTACTTCTTTATTATTTACAATTATATCTCACTTTGTATTATATGCGCGCGCGCGGGATATATATCCCTCAACGCCCAGATAACGATTCATAAGTGCGCACTTTCTAATTTATTAGTATATTCTCATCCATTATGGTTGCTCAATAATCAATACAGTATAAAAGAATCATTCTTTATTCTATTTCCTGTTCCATTCAATTTTAGTACAGCTGCCAAACAGCTCATAAGAGCTTGTTTGAGTGGTTGCTTTAGCTTGTTTAAATATATGAGGCCTGCATTGCTTTTAGAATTGTGTGTGTGTGTGTGTGTGTGTTTGGTTCTTATCCACACAAAAAAAAAAGGTTGGTCAGTGTTTCAAAAACAATATTTTTTTTCCTATGAAATTACTGGAAAAATTTAGTCTAAGATTGCAATATTTTATTTGAATAAAGGTATTTTAATTTTACTTTTGTTTTTTTTATCATTTCCTTCCCATAACAAGTTTTTTTGAAAGAAAATTTTCAATTATTTTATTTAATTTTTATAGAAAAATCAATTATATAATCATCTGAAAAAACTTGCATGGAAGCCAAGCGGATATCAAAATTTCCAAGTTTAAAAATGAAACCTCCCATTGCCCATCACACACAAAACACAAGGCTTGATAAGACAGTGATATAGTGTGAATGCTAACCTCGCAACAGCCAAGGCCTTCCACATCCTCTGGTAATCTCATGGCGGCTAAATCACCGTAAGTGCAGTCTCTTCTAAAAGGTAAGATGGGAGGCACAACAAATTGATGGAAATGTGCTCCTTTTGGAGCCCAGTTCTGCTCTCTATATGTAATCCACTTACCCACAATCCAAGTCTGAAATTAACCGCACAGTCACAAAATCAAATGCATTAAACTTTCTGATCTGGGTTTTGTATGTTGACTTGTTGAGTTGTGAGGCATGAATTAGTGAAAGAAGTGGATTAGAAAAAGGGTCTAATATATTTAACCAAGTACCTTGCAGTTTTGTGCTGCTTGATATTTTGTGACTTGGACAAGGTAGCTCTGGTATTCTGGAGGAGCTTCCTTTTGGATCTTCTGGAATCTATCAGCTGAAAGAGTTAACATCTGCAAATCTTGCACTTCTCTTTCGTTAGTACTTGTCAACACCCAATGCATCATGAAAAATAAGCATGTTTAGTTTGTTTACAAGGAACTAGATTCTGAGTTTAAAAGGAAAAAAAAAAAAAAATTCAACCATGGTTCTGGATGTAGCTTAATGAGAATCATTTGGCGAGGTTTGGTGAAAGTAAATGGCACAACATTCAAATTAATAAAAAGGGTACAAGCGAAGAGAAGGAGAACAAGAAGGCATACCAGTACTCTGATCTTCCTCCTGCAAAGGTAAAGGGCAATAGCTCTTCCAAGTTTGGAAGTAGCTCCTGTTAGAAACACTTCTTCCACATCTTTTGGTATTTCATTTAGTATCACCGCGGCTGTTAAGGTGTTTCCATGAACAACTCTGACTCTAAGGTTTGGAAGCTTGTCCACAAAAAGCTTCCCTCCCCCATTTAGAGCTTCATTCTGTTAAAAACCAAAAGAAAGAAAGAAAGAAAGAAGAAGTTTTTTACATGTTTTTTTTGCCTTTATTCAAAACTGCAATTATGCTTTTTTCCCCCAAAAAATTAAGCATGATTTTTTATGTCATCTCCAGGATTGTTTAAGAACACCACCGATAACTGGTTTTGAACTTTTGATATTTATTAGTTACAGTGGATATAATAGTGATTTGGAAAAGCTAGGCCCTAGAAAGCTGACAAGAGGATCGCATTAATGATTTTTTAAAAAGGAACATCATTGCCTTTATAGTTGACACTTGTAGGATAAAAGATTGTCCTATTCAGCAAGTATGATATGCTGAATGCTGATAAAGGTTCTTTTTAAAGTGAAAGATTCCCGTTTCTTTAAATGAATCTTTTATGTTAAGCACGAAATGTGGAAATGGTTTGTCAGTTTCCAGAAATCTATTTACATTTACACACCGATTCATTAAAACCCTCAACAACCTCCCTCAGATAACGCCAGAAGTTTCACAACTCAGGTAACTTAGATGAATTAGACAAGGCACAAGACAATGAAATATCAGTCGCAATACAAAACCTTGTTCAACGCAGCCAGGCTGATGACTTTAACCCCAATCCTATCAGCCCTGAGGATGGCATTCTCTATTTGCTTATTGATTCCATCAGCAGCAAATGGCAAGAAATACTGCAAAAACAAAATAACACAGAAGAGGAAAAAGAAAAATAAATACTTTCAGTACTGATCTTTTACAGCAGTATTCATAGTGGGGAAATGGGAAAAGAAAATGAGGGGATTTCTCAGGCTAACCTGAAAGCCAAACCTTGGGACAGCCCACGTTTGGTGCAAACGACCTCGTAGGTTGTAAAAAGTGACTAAGAAGGTCTTAGACCAAAGCCACATTAGTATCAAAGATGTCAAGGCAATTGGCCAAAATGGGATCAAGAAGAACCTAAATCTGTATGGTATAGAAGTAAAGGTGCGAAGAGCGAATTGAACGTGCATGCAGGATGAGACATCCACTATATGGGCCAGGAACACAAAATCAGGTACCCTGCTATTTTTCCCTGCATTTAATAAATCTATACATTAGTCACCTCATTCGACTAAATTGTATATTGTCTAATTGTATAATTATTCTAATTTGACAACCTACATAGTTTTGCATTTCACAGCACTATAATAAGCAAGCCGAATGAAATAAGAAATAGCAGATATACTTGAATTCAAACTTATTTCTTTATGTAATTGCCATGATTTGCTGTTGAGGGTGTTGCCTAGTGCGTCAAAGAGGGGCATGAAGAGGCAGAAGTTAGTGTCTTTATCAGTATGGTGCAGGCTGTGGTATCTGCATATAAAGCACAGAAAGCAAATGCATAAATTTAGTCATTAGGAAGAAAGAAATTCTGGAATCACAATTAACCACTTGCAGGAAATAAATGTCCGAGAAACTTATTTAACCACGAATCATAACTAAAAGTTAATTAATCACTTGCTATATACTCTCTCTGTCCCAAATTATAAAGAACTTTTAAACAAAATCTCACATATCAATAAACCTTATTAAATACAGTCAATAACCTTATCTTTCCAAAACAAAAATTTCCATCATTTAATATATTGAAAAGAGAAGGCAGAAATTAATTATAGAGAAATAAAAGTTAATATTAAAATTGATACATTTAATAAAATCTTAATTTACTCAAAGTGTCTTATATTTTAAAATAAAATTTTTTTTTCAAAAGTGCTCTATAATTTGGAATGAAAAGAGTAATATATAGACCCATTCTTTTGTCATTTTTTGGCAAGATTGCTCTATTTGGATGAGAAGAAGATATGGGGAGGGGGGAACATGGAAAGAAAACAGGAGAGAAAATGAATTTTCTCTGTTTGGATGAAAAAGAAAAAGTTAGAGGAAAGAAAAATTAGGAGAAAATAGGGTGTAAGATTCATTACATTCCCCCCCTCAACTATTCTCCTTACAAGTGAAGAGATTTTAAAAATAAAATATTTTTTCACTGTCTACCCTCCCTATCACCTCTTAATTGTTTTTGCACTAGACCCCATCTTCAACCAGGTAGCGACTTGTCTTTAGCAGCTTCAACCTCAATGAAGAAGATGGTGTCAATGATGAGCCACATGGCAAGTTTGTTTTTCTAGATTACATTTTCATTTTGTTTATCTAAATACTATTATAATATATAATTTTGTGTTATTATATTTAATTTTAAAAAGTGCACACTTTTTCTTTTAAAAATATAAAAATGATATATTTTTACTAAATTATTTGATTTTAAAATATAATAATATGAAAACAAATTTTTTAATTTAGTTTTGTACTTTTATTTTATTTTTAAAAAGATAATGAAACATAATATAAAAGGACATATAGACATTATGACATTTATTTTTTTTCTCTCATTATTTTCTCCTATTTATTTAAATAGAATGTGTGATAACATTTTATTTTTAATTTGTTTCCTTTTATTTTCATTTTTCTTAACTTTCCTTTCTATTAAGTTAGGTTTTAAATCCTACCTCCCTCTCATTTTGAGAAGAAGAATTATATCAGTCCACTTGACACCCTCCCCGTCCCCTTCTGGAGTTGTGGTGTTGGAAGTTAATGCTAGTCTCAAGGTGGGGGGGAGGGGAGGAATCGATGCGTACTTGTTTTCCGTTTTACTTCCCATGTCGGTTCAGATAATTAAATATATGGTGTCAGAGACGGAGATAGAGGGCCTTAAAGTTAACTTACGTGGGCGTGTAGATCACATATCTTAGAAAAGGAAACACGTCGAACAGCCGGTGGGGGATAATTTCGACGTTGCTATGGCCCATGGATCTGAGGAAATCAACACCCAACACGTATGCGTATATCAATACTCCAGATCCTAATCCTAACAAGCAAGCCCCGGCGATCGGAATTCCGATTATTGCTGTTAAAATTAGATGCTCCAATGGCGTCGCATTCCCAGCTGTAACATCAAACTCCACGTCATGATCAATCAAAAATTGACAAAACGCACAGCCTCAATGTCTCATTAAACTTTCAAATTATTTTCAGCCTTGTGCACAGAGCAGCGGGTTTGATCTCCGCAGACTACAGCCATATTTAAGGGTATAATAATGAAATCACCCCTTGAAGTTGAACAGAAACGACAAACCTTTACATCTCCACGTGACTTTCTTTAATTTTTTTTTCTTTTTCTTATATTTTTTTATGTGAACCACGACGTGAGGGACACCTGGACAAGAGACATATCTTTTTCTCTTGTTTCTTTTCACCGCAATTTAAAATAAACTTCAAAAGGGTATATTTTATATTTACACCCTCTTCTAATTCTGACGCACAATTTCTATTTCTAGAAATGAAGTCTTTTAATTTTGTTTCTCAACAATTTTTTTTATTAAATTCGACATGTTTCCCATGTATCACATGAAATTTAAGAAATGAATTCCGCTATTCATATCATATATTGAATATTGATGATATTTATATGTTGATTAATGCTAGCTACCCAAAATATATTGATTAATTCTTTATTTATTGAAATATAACAAGACCTTTCCAATTTACTAGTACATAAACAAAAAGGTAAAGGAAAAAAAGTTCAACCGCTAATTCTTTTCTTGAAGTATCAATTTATCAACTCTTTTCCTTTTTTATGAGAACTTAGATTCATGTTCCTCATATATACGCCCACCGTATCAAATTATAAAATATTTTTAGGTAAAATTTTATATATCAATAAATTTTATTAATATACTTAATAACTTTATTTTTTTAAAATAAAAATAAAAAATTTTAAAAATACTCATCATTTAATATATTGAAAAGAGAAAGTATGTAAATTAATTATAAAGAGAGAAAAGATAATATTAAAATTAATACATTTAATGAAATTTTAATCTATTTAAAGTATTTTATATTTTAAGATAGAAAATTCTTTTTAAAAGTATGTAGTATAATATTTACAAAAAATATAAACATATTAAAAAATAAGTAAGTGCGTAATACTCGTAAACGCCATTAATTAATTAATTAATAAATTATTGAATAAAATCTCACTTAGTGGAAGCAACAAACTCTAGCAATTCTGAAATATCCAGAATCTTCTGAATCTGGAGCCAGAAAGGTTTGGACGGTTATGGAAATCAGTATTTGTGGTGGTCGTTTATTCATTACCTGTGATCGACTGTGGCACCGAAGCTGAGTGATGAAGCGAATGATAATGATCGAAGAGATAGCCCTCATGGAACTTCCTATGAACCCAGTAATAGAGCGGCTCTGAGATTCCCACATGAAGAACCAGAGCAACAAGAAGACCCTTCGCGTTCCAGAGCGGCAGATCATGAAGAAGCGGGAAGCAACAGCAGGCCAAGGCACCGATCAAAGTTTGAAGGATCAAGAAATTATCCCTGATTGAAAAACATACACCAGAAACATCAAAAGACGATCGAAAGAGAGAACAGGATTGAGGATTGTTTGAAAGATGATCACCAGTCCCATTCTGCGTCAATCTGCTTGAAATCAACCCCTTGCTGAAGAATCCGACGGTTTCGAGTGAGAAAGAGCATGTTGGTGTAAGAATTCCAGAACAAATAAGTTAAACCTCTGAGAACGTAGAGAAGGAGGAGGTAGAAGCACCAGCTGAAATGGTAGCTTCGCTCATAGAATCTCTCGTGCAGGATTTTGGTCACCAAAGGCCCGTATAGCAGATACTGCAAGTAACACCAGAGTGAGAAACGCCATGACAGATATCAAAAAACAGAGCAGAAGAGGAGGAGGAGGAGGAGGAAGAAGAAGAAGAAGAAGCAAGAGATGAACGAGAGATTGAATACCTTGAAGGCGCCCAGATTGTTCCAAGGCCAAGTAGAGAAAGGAGCAGAAATAGCCATTGAAGAGTTAGGCGTGAGTATGAGAAGCAGAACACAGAGTATTATTGTGGGGAAGTCATTGTAGGATGACTATGTGCGTGTCTATGCGTATATATATTACAGAGGCCGGGGGGGAAGCATTGAAGGCAAATATAGTTGGAAGAGAGGTGGAGTGAAGAAGGAGGGTAGAGGGAATGGAGGAGGATGAGTCAATGGTCACCAAATAGGAAGCCAACTGGGAATTGGCTTCAACACGCTCTGCTCCTTTCTTGCCCTTTGGGATTTTACAACCCTACCCAAACTTATTTTGATGTGATTTCTTCTTAAAATTTCGTTTCGCAGCTGAATATTATTAGGTTGTTTGGATTAAAAGCAATGTTTTTTTTAAACAAATTAACACGACCAACTAAAAATGTCAGCAGATTATAATAGTTTTTATTGTTTCACTGGTTTATATCGGTAATTGAATCGGCAATATAATGATAAAATAATATTGATACATGCACAAATAAGTAAATAAAATATTAAAAATAACATGTTAAGTTTTAATGTTTCCTTTTTTTTTATATGTATATTTTTTTATTTGCTTTATTTGCCTTTTAAAACAAATAAATTTCTAATTAGAAAAACTACGTGTAAGTCCGATGGAGAATATTTATTTACAAACAAATTTCACTAAAAAATCACATTCAAATCTTAAAACTCAAGTATAATTTAAAATTAGAGTACAAAAATAATAATGATTCTATCAAAAATATATTACATAAATTAAATAATTTATAATGATTTTATCAACAATTTACAACTATTGTTTTAACTTTTTATAACTATAATTTTACATATCTAATAATTAAGTTAATTATGAGTTACAGGTTTAATACTAATTTTATACAACTACCTTTTTAATAGTTTATAAGTATTATTTCAATGTCTTATAATTATAATTTTACATATTTAATAATTAAATCGATCATGCATTATTAGCAAAGCTTAATATTAATTATTTATAATTATTTATCAATAATTTATAACTATTACTTTAATATTTTACGATTATAATTTCATATATATAATAGTTAAATTGGTCATGTAACAATTATTTTATTAGTAATTTATAATTTATCATCTCAACATTTTTATAAATGTAATTTCATATATTCAATAATAACTTAATAAGTAAAGGTAATATTATTTTTGCATCTAAATTTTAAATTACACTCAAATTCTAAGAAATCTATCTAAAGTTTATAAATATTGCAGGACTTATTAATAAATAAGCTTGCTCAACAAAACTTATACATAATTTTTTTTTCTATTTTCTCTGCAATTTAATTTATATAATGTCAATAAATAAATTGTGCACTCAAAATTTTACTAAAACAACCCAAAAAGAGTTGATATGGATATTTTTAAATTTCATAAAAAATTATTTTTAAAATGAGAGTGAAAAGAAAAAACAGTTCAAAGTGTCCAACCGTTCCAAATTTTTGGTAAACTTCAGTCTTCAATTCTGTCAAAACCGTATAGTTCAAAGCAACCTAAAACGGTCCAATTCCTAATGAATTAAACAAAGTTACTTTTGTATTCAAGTGATAGTCCAATCAATTCGGGTTGGTTCAAGTCTTGAAATTAATATTGATTAAAAGTTGTAAAGCTAAAGATAGAATAAACTAAAAATTGCAAACTGGAGTTAAAAACCAATAACTAGAACACAAATTATGTTTCGACTAAAAACTCCAGTAAGTACTCCCTCCATTAAAAAATATAAGACATTTTTTGAGCAATTGAATATTAAAAATAAAACATTTTTAATCTTTTGAGATGTAATTATCACATTTTTTAAAGTGTCTCTATTGATAATAACTTTATATTTATTGTAGAAATAAGGGTACGTATAAAAAGATAGAGTTAATTTAAAAGTAGAAATTATTTTATTGAGAAATAAATTTTAGTTAAAAATACTTTACATTTTTAACGGAGTGAATATGTTTTTTTCCCAAATATTTTTTTAGGATTTTCAATAAACTTTTAATACCTAAACTAAGATTTGAACCACTCAAACCTTAATTTGGGTCTTATCCAAACACAACTACAACATGAACAAGTCGGTATCATGGAACTGTTTTATTGGCTTTTCAATTATCAACAGTGTTAGAATTAGATGGTGGAAAATATTTTATATGTTTAATGAACTAAAATGAAATATTGTGTGTGAAGTTAAAGTATTAAAGGTATAGTTTTGTGGGAAAAATTTACTTGCTAATAAAAATTATATATTGATTGCACTTTTAATTTATGTTTCTGTAGAGTATTAGTCTGCAAGCTAATTATACTTTCTACAGTTAAATATTATAGGATAGGAGCCCACAAAAGGTTTTTTGATTAAAGCAGTTGGCCCATATCCCATAAGCATGACCAAATTGCCTGTGTATGAACTTTGTTAGCAAGTAATTTATAAATGTATCTGCAAAAACTTTTTGAATTGTAAAATGTTCTGATTCTAATGATCACTCTCTGAAATTCAACTTATCCAAAAAAATTTCACCAAGAAATATTTTATTATAGAAAAATTCAACCACCACAAATTAAAAAAAAAACAGAGAAAATAATACGACATGTCATGCAAGTGAGTTACATCATTTCCTGTCCCTTCCTTTTCAATTAACTGTACAAAAAAAAATAAGCACATCATATAATCAAATTATTAATTATTAATAAAAAGTCTGATAATTACGTTCCTGGGCAATCAATGAGAAAGGGGAAGCGAAGGACAATTTAAATTAATTAAGAAGAGAAGGAGGACTAAAAAATCAGAGTCATAAGTGACGGAGGCATTGACATGGTAAGCAGATTTGGTTTCTCTACGTTGGAAATCTAATAGAAAAAATATAAATAGACTAATATATACTAATAAATAAAGTGGTTGTAATCAGGTACTAGTATTTGTTAATTTGATATTGATATGTAGCATTTTTGGAACCCTCTAATTAATAATGAATATTTAAAACTGCTGTGTTCAAATAAAACCAAAAAGAAAGTGACATGGCTTACATATTTTGTTTATTTCATATTTTCTTCAGCTTCTATTTGATCAGGTTGAGTTTCTTTTTTTGTTTTCGTTTTTCTTTATTATAAACACTGCTTTCATCTCTGTGATAACTATATTTATTTAGACTGTTTATGTTCCTATTCCACTTTCGTGTTAAAAAAATTGGTTTTTTTTTTTAAAAAAACAATGTTTGTGATCTTTATCGTTTTCCGAAGAAGATGTCGCGCTAGAAATCAGTGAATTTTCAAATATTATAACCTCCCATAGTATATGGTAAAAAAAAAATCTAAATATAGGTATATAAATCCGAGATAATGAGACTTTATATCATTTAAATTTACCTTAATTATTAATTTGATCTCAAATATTTAATCTATATCCATCAAGTCTATAAATAAAATTTTATAATCCTTCCCAAACGATCGTTATAATTTAAAGAAGAAATAACACCATAGGAGATAACTGAATATAGTTATAAAATTTTAGGAAGTTTATCAATAGAGATTAAATCTTAGGCATGAAATTAATAAGTGAAGTAAATTTAAAGAATTAAAAGCTTTAATATCCTTACAAAACACAAAGACTCCAAACTTAAAACTTAGCAAATTGTAAAACAACAAAGAAAAAAAAAAACAACACACACACTTGGCAAATAGCGCCTTAAATGGAGGCGCTTGTCTAGCTAGTTAAATTTTATTTCAATTTTTTTTAAGATTGAATTTTTTAAAATTCCAAAAGGAAGGACTGAACACAAAAAAACTCTTGGTTGAGACTTTGTACTCACTTATTTTGAAATATTTAAAAAGAAAGATGTAAAGCAATTTATTTTAAAATTTAATACTTTTATATTAAAGACATTTCCATCTGTAACACGCTAATTTTTATTATGATTGATTATCTTTAAATAAAATTAATTTAGTAAAAACCTCATGAAATTCATTTTATTGTATAAAACAAGCAAAAGAAATAATAATAAATTATTTCAAAAATTTAGTAAATAATGAATATATAATCAATGATCATTTTGATAAAAACCTTCTCATGGAAATTTAAAATACAATATAACAACCCACACGGTTAAAAGCTTTTAATATATCTTTTCCAATTTACGAACTCACCGGAGATAATGGCATAATTATAAAATCATATTTCATGAGATTTATATATTTTGTTATCTTATTTTAAGTTTGTTTGAAAACTCAACTCACGATAATAGGCATACAAGTATAAATGGCCCAACATTACATTCTCATTTACAAATACAATTCTATGCAACTCTCTGTATGTGAGTTAGCCCAAGCTATATCATTCTAGTGAGTATCAAATAAATAATTAATTGTTTAGGGTTTTCTTTTTCACAATCATAGATTACCTTATCATTAATCAAAATTAAAATTAAAATCCTACACTTAGCATTGTTTACCATACAACTAAGTATGTCTAGTATTGGGTGTGCTTAGAAACCACTATTGATATAAGGAATCTCAATAGACAATCCCATTCCTTTGCTAGAGTTGGCATCTATACCTAAAATAATTAAAAAAAAAGAGGTGAGACAACAATCCCAATAATCATGGGCTTCCAAAGCACTGCAAAACAAATAATAACAACATTTCAATATTATTCAATCATATTAACTCAAGTACTCAAAACTATGAATGCATACATGTGAAATATACACCATTATGTTCGCACTATCACAAATCTCTTAAAGTGTCTCGAATCAAACTAGGTATATCATAACCTTGGATATGCTCACAACCACTTATTCACATTTGGTAGCATGATCACACCTACCATCCTCATCATGCATGATCACGATTCCTTAATAACAAGCATGATCACAACTTACATCCTATGACATGATCACAGTCATGATTAGTAGGAGGATGAATGAGACACCACCATTGCCCTTGGCCAAGTGTAGTTAGATGAAGGGCAATATACCTCATGGTATATACAAACTATGCATGACATTTTGACATGACAAAATCTCATACTAGTAAGTCACAGTCAAGTAATATTCATTCTAATTCCATCATACCAAAGTCAAATCCATCACCATCACATCAATAATCGTGTCATTATTCGTTATAACAATAACAATTCCAATATCATTATGTTGTCAATCATTACTTTGTCATTTTTGACAGTGTTACATTATACTGCCAATTATATTCTTCATCATTTTTAAA